GTCTATGTTCCCCGTTCTTGCTCCATCTACTGTTGCTGCCATCTTTACCTGCATCCACCATCTTCATTCTTCAGTCAATGGGTGGCTACTGATCATGTAACTCCTGTGCATGTGTTCTGGAGTTACTTCATCATGGCACCCGGCTCCATTGTTGGCATCGTACAGATGGCGGAATGGTTGCAGTCAGTGTATACAAAGATACAATATGATGGCAGACAGGTATATCAATGTTTCGGCAGAAAAGACTTTTAACATCTCTTCTACCAAAAAACTACAGAACATGCTATAATTCTTCCTTATTTTTTGAGTTCTGTTTTAAGGGTTCAGACAAGGCGACTCTGAAGTGTTAAATTGGGTGCTTTAGTATTAGGAACAATTGTTTTTGGGGCATTTGAGGAAGCTTTTTGATTCTATCACTTAGTCTTTTGTTGTGTCCGGCACCAAATCTCCAGAACTAATTAATAACTGGAATGGTGTTGCGACGAAAAACTGATGCACTGTGGCTAACAATTTATTTGTGAGAGGTTAGAAATAATAATAATAAATCTTTTTTAGGTGGAATCCCAAGAGTTCTAGACTCTAACCAGCCTTTTGTTACTTACCCCAGTTTCCTCGACCTATAAAACCATGTAGACTACCCATGTACATCTTCTAACTACTGTTGGTTAACAGTTATTAGTGTGGGAGAATATGGATTACAGGGAATCAATACATTAACTTCATTGTATTTTGTGGAACAAACATAAACTCCTCATACAAGTTTTTTGATTTATTAATAGTATCATAAACATTTTTTTTTCTAATTCGAATCTCTGTGTTTTGTCACTAGGACTTCCAGCTGTAATTGTCTTAATAACATTTGGAGCAACATATAAAACTGGAAAACAGAAAAACAATTATCACAGAAAAGATTTGTGAGTTGCATTTTTATTGTACCTCATGAAGGAAGAAGCAGGCTAACCTTCAGGCTACCCACAGACATGAGATGACCATTGCCCAATCCAGCTAATAGCAGTCAAATTAGGAAGTGTTTGTATGTCTCCGTGCAACCAGTGACCTCTGCAGACATTCTGTTCTTGGCAGAAATATTGATTGTCCAAAATGGATTTTCTCATATGATCGCCATTGTTTCCTCTAAATAAAGACAATACCAGGAGTGTCAGTTTAGTGCAAAAACATACAAGTTCAGCTAAACTGATGGTGCAGGTTTATTTTACAGTTCTACAGAAAGTTCACCTCCATCTCATGTCTATGGCTAGCCTTAATGCATGTGTCGGCAGGCTTTGGGCTTGTATTGATGGCATCAGTTTGAGAGGCTTCTAAAATTATTCCGAAATTATTGCCAAGTACATTTGACCTGCAATTGACCTCCTTCTGACCTGCATTTGACCTGCTTCAAGAGGGTTTTGCATTCCCATAAACTTGTATAAGTATGCAAACCCTACTTGAAGCGAACACAAGCCCATCGACACAGACCCTTACTCTACTGTTTTATTAAATATCTAACTATAACTACAATTACTTAACAGATTTGCAAAGAATGGCTGAACATTAGGATGGGGAAAGAACAAAAGGTCTTTGGAAATTGATCCAAGGATCGGAAACATTAGGCAGATGGTGGTCTATACCAGTGGGTAGGCAAACTCGGGCTCTCCAGCTGAGGTTATACCATACGTTCCATGAAGCATTACAAGACTCTGACAGCCACAGACATGACTCCCGGAGGCCTACGCATGATGGTTTTTGTAGTTTCACCACAGCTGGAGTGTCGGAGTTTGCCTACCCCTGGTTTATACTATAGGAACTGGTCAATCTGATGTCAGTGAGTGGGCACTAAGTGGTACCACCAAGGTAATCCTGCTCTCAATATATTCATTGTTATATATGTTCCATGTTGGGGGCTCAGATAGTTTAGAGTTAGGGACCACACTTTGCAAAGGTTCCCTTGAAATGGCATTGTGGCTTGAAGGTACATGCATTTTTAGAGGTATGCAACTGCTGAAATAGTTTGAATAGTCTTTTTGTGCTAACTATTTGCAGAGTGTGCTTGGGAATGTTGTATTGTTCACTGAGTGATTAAAAAGATTCACCCATGCACTACTCTTAAGGGAAGTAGAAGAGAGAGAGGGAACCGAATGCAGACATTCCTGGCACTGGGTCCTGTCCAATCTTCTTGTTCCCCCAAAACACCCATTCAAGGCTGTTGTGGCTGTCCCTTAGACATTAGATCATCACCCAGTTCTTGGTCCCAAAATAATTGGTGCCAGCACTGGATCGAGACATCTTCGTCCCTTCTCCTTTCCTCTCAATCATAAACATGCTCTGTACACCAGCAGATGGTAGTGGCTCGTTGTGGTCATAGCATGTCTTTACGTCTGTCCATCTTCTTAAAGTGGACATTTACCCCCTTTTACTAAAAATTGAATCAGCATACAGCTCTACATGCTGATATTATCTTACATTCATTAGTTAAACAAACATATTTGTATTGTTCTACTTCCTGGTCCACTTGGGCACAAATTATGTAATCATGCCCAAGTGTCGCATCCTGGTAAGGTTATATCATCAGTGGATTGCTGGGAAATCTCATCTGTAATCTCATGGGATCTCAGAAAAAGGCATTTTCCTCCTCTGAGATGATGTGTTTCAGTGACGTGCGGTACCTCTTGCTCGGGGTGAAGCATTCCCAGACAGCTTTTTCCTCCTTAATTCTAGGTGAGGCTCTGCTTCACCTGCCTCCCCTGACCGCACGCCCCTGGTGTGTATGGTCACTTGTACTAGTCAGGTGTGCCAGAGTTCCAGGATGTGAAGGGAGATGAATCCATCTGCCCTTAGTAAAAATTATCACTGTGAGAAGAATGGGGAGGAAAAGACATCCTTCAATCATCTATATGTATCTGATTGTAGATTGTCATTACCAAACATTTCTAAAGGTATATTTGTTGTCATTTCAAATATATGGGTAAGGTTCCTCTTTAATGACCCTATCATACCATATCCAGTGCATTCTGGTGCGGTTCGAGCCTGGAATGCACTGGATCACATAGATCAAGCCGGGCTGTATTCGGGGGCGGGAGGGGGCGTGGTGGTGCTATTCATGTCAATGGCACCGCAGGCACGCACCCCGCCCGCAGTGCGATCGTCCACACCGGAAAGAGAGGAACAGGAATGCCCTCCATTCCGGTGCTGCGCAATCGGAAAACATGCTGCGTGCACTATTTTTTCCGCTCGCACTACACTGGAACGGAGGGCAATCTTGTACCTCGGGTTTCAGTGCGGGCAGGGGGCGTGTCTGCAGTGCCATTGACATGAATGGCACCACCACGCCTCTGTTGTTTGATGATCATGGATTTGTCACTTCTTCCCCAAATTCTGACCTTATATTATTGTTACTATTGTATAGTCAAAAATGATAAACACAAACTCACTCATCTTGTTTCATTGTAGCTGTTGGCTTGCTGGTGCCAATGAGAATAATGAGTTGGATCTCTCAAAGCCCCTGCTGTGGTCTTTCCTCGTGCCGGTGGGAATCATCCTTACAGCAAATATTTGCATTTTTATAGCAGTTACAGTACTATCAATTTGGAAGAACACTCCACATTTAACCAGGTGTGTAAATAATAAGAGAAATGTAAATATATGAATCATTCTGTTTTTACATTGGGCAATCATTTTCTGTAGCTTTATCTTCCATAAACTTAAACTGCATGGATAGCTAAAACGTTTCTTCTATTGTACTGGATGGTATATGAAAGGCCTAAAAAAGATTGACAGTTTATGTATGCACAGTATGTATGTATGTATGTATGTATGTATGTATGTATGTATTTATTTATTTATTATTGCTGTCTGTATCCTGTAAGGAAGATTTTCCTTGCTACAAGTATGCATCAGGGAGGAATAGAAAATCTCCACAAAGACAGTTGTTACCAGAATTGGTGTCCCCACTGAAGGAGTTACTCTTGCCTCTTGGTCTGGTGACAACTCTCAAAGTATGGAGATATAAGACTTCCAGGAAGTATAAACTGATTATATATAGGGAGATAGGTGTTTACATTCACCTCCTCTATGTCATCCAATGGATAGAAAACTCTAATGTCACCTCTGGGGCTAAATAAATCTAGTCCAACCTCACTGAGTTGAAGAAGTCAGCAAACGTGTCTCGAATTCAGATCATGCCTCCTCACCACAGAGCAGAACAATGCCTTTAAACTAAATCTACTGACCAGTCCCCTTGTCAGTCTCAGGATCTTACTTGCAAATATGATTTATTTCTTCATATAGCAACACTTTCAATAGCTAAAGAATGCTGGGCAGAATTGAATTAACCCTTGCAGCGGGGCTACCTCCGCACTGCAAGGGTTAACTACTCGTTTTTTGCCTAGGGTAAAAAAAAAAAAAGTTATGCGTACCTAAACCTTCTAACCAGTCAGCTCTCAGACCGATCCCTAGAGTGCCCCCCCTTCTCTGCAGCAGTCTAGGAATCCTCGAGTCATCACGTCCATTACAGTGTATAGGGTGTGGGGACACCAAGGAACGTACCATCGCTGCTGCGGAGGAGGGGATAGGATGGAGGGAACGCAACAGGCTTGGAGGCTCGGGTGAGTATAACATTTTTCCTGTCCCCTAGGCAAAAATGACAAGTTAACCCGTGCAACCATTGAAATAACATGCCAGCCTGAGTTCTTCATTAAGCAGTGCAGAGTTTAAAGGGAATTTATAGATACATGACTATAGTTTTATGTTCAGAGCAAATGTGCAGAGTTCAGAGTTCATTGCACATATGGGTGCTATAGGTGGTAGCAGCCAGCAAGTAGGGCTACTATGATTAGGGGGGGTCCCTTGAACGGTCTGCTGAAGATCTTGACATCTGCCACTGCACCAATACAAGAACAGGGAGCCTTCTGCAAAATACGCCATGGTCATACGTCAGCTTCCAGGGGGAACCCCCTGCTTACCTCTTTCCAAATAAAACCTCACCAACTCCTGAATACTATGAAGAGATAAGACAATATAACACAGCAATTAGGGAGGCACCGATAACATTTTTTCAAGACCGAGTACAAGTACCGATACTTTTCCTCAAGTACTCGCCGATACCAATTACTGATACTTTTTTTTTAAAGTGACATGTGACATTTTTTCTAAAACAATATATACTAATGGTATACAGCAATGGAGAATGGCAACCACCTCTAGAGAACTAGAAATCCCATCAATCCATGATTATACAGCAATGGAGAATGGAAACAGGCAATAGAGGACTACAAATCCCATAAATCCATGATTGCCAGTTGCCATTCTCCTTTGCTGTATAATCATGGATAGATGGGATTCGTGGTCCTCTATAGCTGCTGTATTGCTGTATAATCATAGTCAGTTGTGTGTTTGATTTATTTCTTAATTATATATTACTATTCCGTTTTCAGGACCAGAAAAATGTCAGTGTTAAAGAAGACATTGGCTACATTTTCAATTGCATCTTTACTCGGTGTCACCTGGATTGTTGGCTACTTGATGCTTATAGAGACCCCAGGGCAGACACAGATTGTTTTCAGCTTCATCTTCTGCGTATGTTGTGCAGCACAGGTACTATGCATGAGCTTATATCCTTTAGTAGAGTGTCAGAAACCATTAAAGGCCATTTCTGCTTTTCCTGTTTACTTGTAACGGGGTCACCTAGCAGTTCACATGTTATACCTGAACTTAGGGCTATCATTTCTATATTTTATCTGAATTGCCTGCCTGAGATATCTAACATAGCAGCACAGCAGTAAAATACATCTGGGGTAAACAACGGCAATTTTATAGTGTAGCGCCCGCTGGTCAAGCATGGCAGACAGCAGCAGTTTGTAGTCAAAATGTTGTGGGAAGTGATGACCCCCTGAGCTTCTATATGTGTAGGAGTTATTTCTTTGATTAAATCAGGCATTTGCTCTTTGGCAGCCCTTTTTTATCCTCTTCTTCTAGGGTTGCCACCCGTACGGGTTTCACCCGTACAACCCGGGTTTGGAATCATGTGCCCGGGTCTGTGGCCACCTCCCGCCCGGGCACATGATTCAAACATTACAATCTTCCCTTCTTCTTTTATCCTCTTCTTTCCCTTCTGACTTTTTGCAGTAATGATTGGCCACCTGAGATCATGTGATTTAGACCCTATTCACACCTATGTGTTTTTTCACTTGATTCCCGAAGCCTGACAATGCTCAAGATGAAGAATCCCAATATTCTCAATGGGCCGATTCACATCTGAGCGGTGTCACGTGAAGCTTGATAAAGTACATGAGCTTCTTTTGGGGCAGAATCGTGCATTTTGGCCCCTTAGACTTTAATAGGAGCACCTGCAAAATGCTTGAAAAGACATGTCTACCTGCTTTTTTCAGGCATTCCTATTTAAAGGTCTATGGGGCCAAAAACACACGATTCTGCTCCTGTACTACATACAAAAAAAAGCTAATTAAATTGCTTGCTACACTCATGCTTAGGTGTGAATGGGTCCTAGTCTTCCTAGTGGCAGTTTTTTAAATTCCTAATACATAAATTAATTTCTTGCTTAAATTATTATAACACTAATCTGTGCTCTGTTGATTCATGTGAAGTATGAATTTTATGATAGGTTTACTTTAAAATGCAGTAAATAAAATCATTCAATGAAAGGCAATACAGCCTTGCAGCACTGGGGGTTCCCAGTTCAAAGCCCAGTCAGGACACTATTTGCAAGGAGTTTGCACGTTCTTTCTGTGCTTGTATGCGCTTCCTCCGTGTACACCGGTTTCCTCCCACACTCCAAAGACATGCTGGTAGGGTAATTGGCTCCTGTCTAAATTGGCCCTGTATGTATGCATGTGAGATAGGGACCTTAGATTGTAAGCTCCTTCAGAGCAGGGACTGATGTGAATGTGCTGCGTAAATTGTCAGTGCTCTATAAATATCGATAATAAATAAAATCATTCAGTGAAATACTTATACAATTGAAACTTTCACTTTGTAAGGTCTCATGTACACCAACATTTGGCCTGGTTCAACATTGACAGGGTTATTCACAAAAGGGTGAAGAGTTTGGAGAAGGCAGGAGAAGGGAACGATCTAGGCCAAAATAGCTGATTTGGAAAAATTCTCCCAATTCCGCTCCCTTTCCAGTTCAGCTATGTTGTCCTAGATTGTTCACTTCTCCTGCCTTCTCCAAACTCTTCACCCTTTAGTGAATAACCCTGTCAGTGTTTCTGAACACCAAACTATATATAATAAGATAATTTAGGCAAGGTCAGAGGCGTAACTAGAACCTTCAGGGCCCCGGTGCAAGAAACCATGAAGGGCCCCGAGGCAAGCGCGGGACCTCAGGCAGCCGCTTGTTTAAAATTTTAGTGCCGGTGTTCTGTCAAGAACGCCGACCCAGTATCTGCGCTTACGTACAGACAGGATTAACGAGGAAACCGGCATTTTCGTTACAAAGTATTCGTTTGTAATGGTAATTGTGACCGTTAATAATATGCCGTCCATGGCAGTAAATGAAGGATGGAATATTATTAACAGTCACAATTAACGATTTAAACAAAATACTTTGTGAATAAATACCGGTTTCCTCGATAATACTGGTCTGTGTGCAAGCGCAGATGGTGAGGCCAGTATTGGCACTGGTGCATCTCTACTTAATAATATAATGTATTTCTGGGACTTGTAGTCCTGCATAGTTGGTGCTATTCTGCATTGCTCCATAATCATCATACAGCAATGCAGAATACCACCACCTATGCGGGACTACAAGTCCCAGCAATACACTATAATAAAAGTCAGCTATGCAGAATACCGCCAACCCCCCCCCCCCACTATAATGTATTGCTGTGACTTGTAGTCCTACATAGTTGGTGCTATTCTGCATTGCTATAATCATCATACAGCAATGCAGAATGCCACCAGCTATGCGAGACTACAAGTCCCAGCAATACATTATAATAAAAGTCAGCTATGCAGAATACCACCAGCATCCCCCCTCCCAACAGCTATACATAGATGATAAACCCTAAGCAGGTAGTACTTGTCCCCAAACATTTAAATGTTGCCAGTTGGTTGCCAGATTATTGGAAATGTACTGGTTTTGCATACAGAATACTTTCTAGATGTAGATTTTAACCAGAATGAATTGCTCTTCCTCTAAAATCTCATCATTTGTATTGCTATTGCATCAGCTTGATATGTTTCCTTCCTTCCAGGGACTTCAAATCTTCATCTTCTACACCCTCAGATCTCGCTTATTTCTGGAGAAGGTGGCTGCTGGTATGCGCTTGTTTAACGCCTGCAAGATATACATGCATTCAGAGAAATACTGGGTGAACAGGATTCGCAAGGGCAAATCAAAGTTTTATAATGAACAATATAGGAACTTTTCAGATTCAACTTCACAATTGTTTTCAGACAAAAAATCTGAAGACTGAGTCAAAAATGATATAGCTTTCATACCAGTTCATTTATATTTTGTTTTTTAAAGATGCAGAGAAATACTCTGTTAAGTCATCTGGTTTATAGGAAATATTTGTGACATTCCAATGTGGCATTGTTCAGTGCAGTGCAGTCAGGCTTAGAATAATGGTAAGGTCATATGACCATTGCCTATAGGTTGACAGAATGATAGGAGGTAGCATGCTGCTCTTAGCTTCATTTTATTATGACTCTTTTGTTAACCTAGATCAGCTTGGGTTCTGTCTGAACTTGATTTTGCGTGAACTTTGAAAAAAGCTGTTAGTGCCGACCCAATCAGCTGCAGGCGGGGCACTCCCCATGCTGCAGCTGCACGTAACAAAGGGTTGTGTGCTGCTCCATGTTTCTTAACTGACGTAACAAAGGAGTGGTATGCTGGTGACAGCTTTGGTATTAAATAGCCACATGGCCATATTTGGTCAGTGACATTGACCTGATATAGTCATGTGGCCATATAAAGTCAATGCTATCTTCAGCATTCTGCGCTTTTTTTACAGGCAGCTGCAGGGCAAGGAATGCCCTGGCCACCTCTGACTGGGGCGCCACTGACAGCTTCTTCCAGGTTCAGGGGAACTCAAGTTTGGACCGAAACTGAGCTCATCCCTGTTTGACAGATACATTTTATTCATACACTATACTATGTGGAGATAAATATCTGTGTCGCTATGTGGTGGCATCATACACATGGCCTAGGGGAGCATTAAATAAAAGTGTCTATTGCTAAAACTTTTTTGTTGAGTGTTGGATAGAATAGGGAATGGTCAAATCTGCTGTGTTCTTTTTTTCAGATATATCCCCTCATTACCAGGATAGAATCTTCCAAAGTGAGGGGAAATACCCTTTTAACATTTACTGGTACAGATATCCCCATTGGAAGATTTCCCCTCACCACCTGGTGACCATTGTCATTGACATTTATATGTTTTTCACAGGCTATCCTAAACTGTAACTATTTCAAATTGATATTTTGGTTTTAGGTGGGTACCTTAAGGTTAGGTGCCTTAAACCTCTCTGAGACTTCAGAGGTTAAATTCCAAACAGTGGTTTATATTTTTACCCTTCCCTCTAGCTCATAATTCCATTGTTAGTTTGTTGCATTTGTTGCTGGACTGCTTAGTTTCTAATAGATTCGGTGGGCCCGTTCACTCACTACCCATTGCGTTCTGGCATGGTTCCGTGCCCTGACCACACTGGATCACATAAACCAAGCCTCCTGTGTTCTGGGGCAGGAGGGGACGCATTCAATCACCCACAACAGAACTCGTTGTACAGCAATGCCCTGCGTTCCAGTGTGGTGCGATTGGAAAAAATAGTGCATGCGTTCCAATGCGGTGTGATCGCAACAAATAGTGCTCTGCAGGCGGGAGGCGTGTCTGCGGCTCCATTGACATGAATGGCACCACCACGCCACAGAACGCCAGAGGCTTGGTTTATGTGATCCAGTGCGTACAGGGCACGGAACTGTGTCCTGGAACGCAATAGATAGTGTGTGAACAGGCCCTAATATAGAGAATCAATTAAAGGAACTGTATTTTCAGTATCTGGCTTTGTGAAGGTTACATCTGGTAAGGATGTCTTGCAAGTGTTGCCTCAGAGAGATATAAGGAGCTGGGATATGATTTAGCTTCCCAGCAACCGGACAAACCTGATAAAATTTGTTAGTCAAAGTTGACATTTAAGGTGAAGTTTCCGCATTATATAATTGGTTCAATTAAAAGTGTATGACAAAAATCTGTATTTTAAAATGTAAGGCCAAATTCATATGGGCACTGTTCAACCTCAGGAGAGGATCCATAAACTGATCCCCTTTTCGGGATAAGAACGGAAATAGATGGCACATATGTTACATTCATGTCTGTTCCATTTTCCTTCCATCTTGTGATACATAGGTGACTGAATGTAAACATGTCCGCCTATATCGGCTCACATCTGCTCAGAGGCGTGTTCAGTTGCTCAGCCACTGCAAGTGCTGAGTTAGCAAACCGCCGCTGAACATTGTGCTGCAAATCAATGCACAGCTCTGCTAACTTAGCACTTGCAGCGGAAATGAATGTAGTTGCAGAGTGCTGAGTGTGACCTGCATAGTAGGAGAAGGTGGTGACAGAGCACTTAAATGCTCTGTAGCAGGATCACAAGCCCAGGCGCTGATTGATTCAGTTTCTGGGGTAAGTGCTGGACTCGGGTTGCTTCTCACAGCTGATGATACCTCCCTGTCAAGAACCGCTGTAGCCACTAATAGACTTTGGGCTGTTTTAATACAGTGATGTCACAATTGCTGGCTAAACTTGCACAGTTTTCACACCCAGGGTGCTAATTTTTCCAAACAATCCATCACTTTTAAATTGCTAAAATATTTTCTAATATTACTCATGTTTTATATATCATATGCCAAAACTCCAAAATGTAAAGATCATTAAGGAGAAGTACTTTTTGTGGTTCATATAGCACTGGATGAAGACTGCTGGTTTATACCAGACTCTGCCCCATGGTCATTATCAATGAGAATGCTCTACACAAATAAATGAGCCTGAGTGCAGAAGAGTCCAGTGGATCCAGGAGCCTGAGTGCAGAAGAGTCCAGTGGATCCAGGAGCCTGAGTGCAGAAGAGTCCAGTGGGTCCAGGAGCCTGAGTGCAGAAGAGTCCAGTGAGTCCAGGAGCCTGAGTGCAGAAGAGACCAGTGGGTCCAGAAGGAAAGAGTGACACCCAACACAGAATGGCTGTCACATCCATGAATTTTGCTGACTGTTCAGAGAAGGTGCATGTTGTAACAAGTAACCTGACAATACATTTGTAAAGTGTCTTATTCCACATACTGTCTGTAATCTGCATTTCTTGCATAACACGCATAATCCTGATATGGAACAATACATCCTATCTGCTGTCTGAACACTATTTTATTTTCAGACAATAGAATGCAGTGCGTTGTGTCATGATCTGCCTAAGGTTTGTGTTGCTTGCACGTACAATTTAGGTCAGCATGTAACCTTCATGCTTCTCTGAGTTTATTCCAGCAAGAAAACCAGCCTTGCAGGTACACAGGACATAACAATCTTTGGCAGTCGCTCTTGGTGTAGTAACTCCTACAGCGCAGAACAGAGCTGCCTGTAAGCTTTCAGTAAAAATAGGAGACAATGCAACATTAACTAGACGGGATGGTAAAGGGAAGCACTTTTTATTTCAGCACTGGATGGCAGGTCAGGTGAAAGCATTGCACCAGTCTGCTGGACCTTACTGTATGTGGTCAATTTTTATGTAGCCACTTACAGCAGGTTATAAGGCACTATGGACCTGACAGCTGAAGGACCTGTTAACACTAATAGATCCTCTGCTTTGATCTCTGTTATGCTGCATATTACATTTGGGAGATGGAGTGTTTGTGAATGTTGTTTTACAGGGGTCAGAAAACGTGCAGGTATATTATGTGAGAATGGACGGCAGACTCCTTTGATGTTTATACAAAATGAATATTTCTGCTGTATAAAGGAATCTTTATGAAGAATTTCTGGTTTACATGAAACCAATCCAGAATAATGTTATAAAGGGAACAGTACACATTTAAAATGATTATTTTGTAATGTTAATCTGAGAGTATTTGTTGTTTTTCCCCCCAGTATTTTCATACGTGTACACTATGTGGTCAAACGTTTGTGGATACCTGACCGTCACACTTCCCTGTATGGCCAAAGCTATGTGGACACCCCTCCAAAATAGTTGAGTTTAGGTGTTTCCAGGGAAGGGTACATAGTTATTCAGGTTGAAAAAAGACACAAGTCCATCGAGTCCAACCTAGTCCATCGAGTCCAACCTATTGGGTACTATTGGGTAATATTGGGTACTATTGGGTAATGCTGCAGCATACAAAGACATGTTAGCTAATTGTGTGCTCTTTCTTGTGGCAAATGTTTGGGGAAGGTCTTTTTCTGTTCCAGCATGACTGTGCCCCTGTATACAAAGCCACCTCCATAAATGCATGATTTGCTGAGTTTAGTGTGGTGCAGGGACGTGCGGTCAGGGGAGGCAGGTGAGGCAGTGCCTCACCTAGTATTATGGAGGAAAAAGCTGTCAGCTTCAAGTCTGAAGCTGATAGCTTTTCTCCATTCAGTGCAGCTTGTTACAGGTTACACAGCAGGGAAAGCCTTCCTGCTGTGTAACCTGTCATGGACGGATTGTTGCCTGTTAATTACAGGTGGCGCTGCCTCCGACTTTTGACATGTAGTTAGGTTACAAAGCAGCAGGCTTCCCCACTGCTTGTGTAACCTAACTTGGTGAGGCAAGAGCTGTCACAGCCTCTACTCTGTGTTAGAGGCGTAAGCTCTGTGGATGGCTTGGACCAATGGTAAAGCGCCATTGGTCCAAGCTGTCCAATAAAAAAAACAGAAAAAAATCCAGTGAGGACATCGATCTCGATGCCTCACCAGTGATGAGCAAGTGAGGAACAGGGAGGCTCCTCCCTGTCTCCTCCCTTCCTCCTCCCCACACAGCTTGGTTACCGAGCTGGGGACGAAGCTTCGGTGAGATGTGGAGGAGCTATGGAGGGCTGGGGGATGCCTCACCCAGTACAAAAGGCACGGCATGTCACTGGTGTGGTGGAACTTGAGTGGTCTGCAGAAAGCCCTGACCTCAACCCTACTGACATCTTCTGGGTGAATTGGAACGTCAATTGTGACTAAGGCCATCTCATACAACATCAGTACCCGACCTCACAAATGCTCTTTTAAATGGATGGACACAAATTCCCACCTACACACTCTAAAAACGTGTTTAAAATCTTCCCAGACGAGTGGAGGCTGTTTCAGCCACAAAGGAGGTCAGAGTGGGGTGGTGGTGAGAGGTCAACTACATATTAATGCCCATAGTCTAGGAACGGGATGTCTTACAAGCTCAAATAGGTGTGATGGCCAAGTGTCCACAAATGTTAGCCCATATAATGTATGTGTGTATATAAGCTATGTATATTGTATACCGTACATTAGGGTGTTGTCAGCATCCCTGCTAAACAAACTACTGAGATCAGTTACAGATCTTCTAAAAATGAGTTAGCGATTTTGCCCTGAATATTCATGAATTACTGCTCGTGTAATACAGAGGGTGTATTGTAGAGAATTGATTAATTTCTTCTGTGTCCATGCATGCTCCAACATGCTTCTTCCCCGCCAATTCCAGGATAGGCAACTGGTTTCACAAAGTCGTTCCTTTTCTTCCAGTTGTGCGGCTGCCCCCACACTGACACTATCATGTACAATTTAAAACCAGCTGCCACCGCTGACCCTGCATTGCATTTGGTCATATAGAAGGCCTGACCACAATTCTGGGCTGGAGCAGGAGTGAGGAGGATCACCGGCTGCTGCAGAAATTAGGAATAATGTACGGCAAGTTTTCCTCCGCAATTTACCTCTGTGGACTAAACATGAACATTTTTTTATAGCTGGCTGTTCAGCTTTAGGTCTGCTTTCAGTCAGATAAATATGAACTGAGAGAGAGGAACAGTAAAGCATGACCACTGTGTAAGTTTAATTGTGTTGGATTTTACATGTGTGTTTAGATGGAGATTACATGAGTTATAAATATGTTACCATAGAGTTTTATGCCTGTGATGGACTACAATCTCACATTTAGTTAGCTAATTTGTATTGAAGTTATAGTCTATGATGGGAGTGAGCTTGGAGAGGTGGCTACTTTACAACACACACAGAGACCATGGGGAAGAAAAGTAGCCACCCTCCAGAAGGAAGGACAGTGTCAGCACCAATTCAGAGATGATTTGAGGATCTACAGCCGAGTGATACACAAATAAGATACATTTTTGTTAGTAGTTAAGGCATTTGAATGCATTTTTAAGATTTAACTCCAGAGTTTAGTGTCACTTTAAAAGTATACTCCTACAATACTGTCTAACTGGTGGTAAAGTTGTGATTGGTGATCACTGCAAAGCTATAGGCAGTGCAACATTCAGTTCTGCTTTGATTTGCATTGCATAGCTCAAATGTTATCACACACATGGAGAATACTTACATCTCGGGATGTGGTCTATGCATGCTTGCAGCATAAACAGGTGAGTACATGTATGTAAATTGCAAATTCATTATTACTAAAGTCCTTATACTGTAACTTAATTTTCTTTAGTTTTCTCTTTTTAGTGTGATTGAAGTATACATTCTTGTTCTTTGTCTTCTTATACAGGATTTATATAGCGCCAACAGTTTGCGCAGCGCTTTACAATATAAAGAAGAAATTACAATAGGATTCAAGACAAGAGGGTAAGGAGGGCCCTGCCCGTGAGGGCTTACAGTCTAAAACAGAGGGGCAAGTGATACATGAGGAGGTAGCTGTGTGGGGACGAATTACAAGAAGCAGCATTCTGAAGCTCAGCATTTTAAACAGCTTAAAAACATTCTGAGTTTAATACCACTTTATATATCTTCTGACCTAGAACAAACATGCAGCCAGTGAAGATGAAATCAGAGCCTCTTAATCTACATATGTATTCTATGTCCGTGAATCAGGAAGTGGTAAAGCCAATGATTTCACATTACATGACAGCCAGCAACTAGAATTTTCAGAAGCAGACCAGCAATATTCAGTTTAAACTCTAGCAGTAGATCCTGATAATTGAACTTATGTCCCAGGCTCACAATGATATTGGTAACACAAGAAAATACCAGGAAACATACTTGTGCCATTTCTGATGTATTATTATTATTTGGCAGTAGATGGCAATATTGTTACACCTGATGTTTCCTTTCCACCTTTTTAAAGTATCATTTATTTTCAGTCTAAATAAGTTTATTAGTAAAGTTTTAGTCATCAACTTTTTAACAGTTTATAAAGCGGTCGGTCTCCCCTCGTCTTCTTTCCACACATGTAAGATGTCAATAGAAGAGGAATTAGGGATAACATGCAGGAATAAGGAGTAGAACACATGGCTCTGGAATGTTGTAAAGCAGTCATTCCCAACTTTGCTATTCATTAAACTACGCACCCCTTTATAAAAAAGCAATCCCTGAGATTCATAAAGAGTATTCTAGACATTTTTTAGAAGTCTGTCTCCCATCCATGCAACAAATGGCGCAACTTGGGACAGATTCATGATTGTCAGTAAGGTGTGTATGAATCTGTTGCAGAATTTCCTTAATCAGAATTTTATTTGTGACACTTTACAATTTACTCCAACATGGAAGAGGGGCAATTTACCTCCACTTTTCTTATCACCAATTTGGCGCTATTTCTGGCATTCCCGCAACAGCATTCCTGCAACAGAATGTAAAAGTGTCGCACATAAGAATTACCTGGATTTGACATCCACATTGGAAATAGCAAGAAAACGGTTGCATGGCTTTCATGAATTTGGTGCAGGACATTTTAAAGACACATCTTTAGCCATAATGTGCTAGAATGCACTTTCCAAAGAGATCCTCTCCAGTATTGCACTTCTCCCATCTTTGTCCCGGTCTTCTTCTCGGTTTTTAGCCTCTGGCTGATTGATTGGCAGGACACCGATGACGCAACTCATGGGCATGCAAACGTGAGATATCTCATCTCGGTATGCCGAGCCTGTGCACTGAACCATGCATGTGCAGCTCAGTGTACAGGGAAAATAAATTACTGACAAGCCTTTATGGCAGAGGAGACTTACGCAGTCTCTTCTGTCATACAGTATAAAGCCTCCAGTTGGCAGTTTTTCTACTTTGACAAAGCAATATTTTTTCTGAGATCCCCCTGTAACATAGTTTTAATATCTATTGATCTTATATTTTTCATTCCTTTCTTCCTAACAGGCCTACAACACTATTTATTATGCAGGGGAATCACACGCTCTCCGGACCAAGTAGTCTTAGAAGGACGTGTAGTTTTAGTGTTGAATCAGTTTTTATTAAGTTTCATAAAAGAAGATTCAGACAATGCACATAATGGCTCAAACATTAAATCACAGTGTTGGGATACAATATGAGGGAGGGAAACTCTCATTGGCACAGCGTTGACATCGTTCAGTTTGCCCGACTCGCCGTAGTTGGTTAATTTATATGAGCACAGAAAAAGGAACAGTAAAACCAACATTACACCGAATCTGTACGAGTGCTGTGCACAACCTTTTGATCAAACATTTCCAGGAGCGCCCTATAGGGCCACCTGATCCTGTGCGATTTGGAGCCAACCTCTTTAATAGCATATAATATAATCTTCTCGTGCACCGTCTGACTTTGCAGTCAGATTA